TACCACCGGACTAAAAGTCTCATCATAGTCCAATCCTTGTTCCTGACTATAACCCTGAGCAACTAAACGTGCCTTTATATCTGGACACTTTGCCATCTTGATCCTTCTTGATCTTGTACACCCATTTGCTCCCTATCACATTTCTGTCAACCGGAGGTGGTACTAGCTCCCAAGTACCTTGTTTTTGTAAAGACACAAATTCTTCCTTCATAGCATTCCTCTAATCCTCAGAAAGAACAGCTTGTTTATAATGAGAAGGTTCTAGTGAATCATGAATGTCAAGAATCGCAGTAAATCCACAAAACATCACATCATCATCATGAGAAGAAGGAAAAACTGAAGTATTTGATGCAGAAGCATAATAAGTAGAGTAGTCTTTTCGCTGCAGGACTCCACTTTTTAAACGTGTAACCATATTATGCTCAGAAGAAGTATGCATAACAGGAGACGGAGATACCTGATGTTGGTCATGGTCAGGGACATGCCACACTTGAGAGGAAGAAGGAGAGTGATGTAGTGTAGTAGCTTGTATATCTGATGAAGAATGCAGAACTGGACTGGAAGAGAGACTTGAAGGTTGAGATGCCATAGAATGTATATCCACAGATTGACCATTCCCACCAATTTCTTCTCTTGTTTGGCAGATGAATTAGGAACCACAATATATCTCATTCTTGGTAACTCTTGCTGTGAGGATACAGCCAGTGAAGAAATATTGACAGAAGAAGAATGAGACTTCTTAAAAGGAAACACATTCTCATCATAGATGACATGCCTTGATAACAGTAACCTTTGTGTAGTCCGATTATAGCACAACACTCCCTTATATCCAATAGAGTAGCCCACAAACACACATTCATCACTTCTAGCTTGTAACTTATTGACATTATAAGGTCTTAAGTAGGGATAGACTGCAGTACCAAAAATCTTTAAGGAACTCAGAGATGGAGATTGGGCAAACAATTTAACATAGGGAGACACCATTTCTAAGTTTTGGCAAGGCATTCTATTGATTAAAAACACTGCATGACTACAAGCATGAAACCAAAACTGTTGAGGTAACCTTGCAGCACTCAATAATGTCACAGTAGTCTCAATAATATGCCTGTGTTTCCGTTCTGCCAACCCATTCTGTTGAGGGGTATAAGGACACGAGACAAGATGTAAAATCCCATTTGTATCCAGAAATTGTTTAAACAACCTACTCATATACTCTCCTCCGCCATCAGATTGCAGTGTCTTAATACTGCATTTGAAATGATTCATAACAAATGCATGAAACTTAACAAACACAGTATAGACATCAGATTTATTAACAAGAGGAAAGATCCAAGTGAACCTTGTGCATTCATCTACGAAAATTACATAATATCTGTAACCTTCAAGAGATACAGTGGGTGAAGGTCCCCATACATCAGTATGCACTTTCTCAAAAGGAACACTAGACTTATTACATTTAGAAGGAAATGGTTGTCTAGTCATCTTACCCCTAATACAAGCTGAACATAAATGTGGACTTTTATCTAAAGAGACAGATATCTGAGACTCCTTCAACATTTTCAACTGAACTTCATTAGTAGGATGCCCAAGTCGTTGATGCCAAATTGAAGTCTTCACAAGCTGTCCCAAAAGAGCTTGAGGTGTATTATTTACTAGCTGAGAATAGTTGAAAAACTGCTGCTGAGGAATATAATACAAGCCACTACTACTATTCTTTCCTCTCAGTAGAATTTTCTTTGTTGCCTTGTCCTGCACCCAGAAACCAAATTCATCAAGTATAACATAGCAGTGATTATCTTTGCATAGTCTATACACAGATAATAAACTAGCTGCTAATTGAGGAACATGTAAAACCATTTGAAGAGTTAAATGTTTGGAAGAAGTTAAAAGAGAACCCGAACCAGTATTGGCTACAGGTAAACCTTCTCCATTGCCCACTGTGATCCTGTCAGTGCCTTCAAAAGGAGTAATAAGTGTCAAATGATCCAGACCAGCTGTCATATGATGTGTAGCCCCTGTGTCGAGCACCCAATTTTGTTGTGAAGAAGAATGAAGGTTTGGCTGAGCTTGTGCAGTGAAAGCATTGAAAGAAGAAGGAGGTTGAGCACCTTGATATGCATAATTTCCTCGATGATAACAATTGAGAGCAGAATGACCTTTCTTCCCACAGATTTGACACTCCAGAATTGGAGGAACAGAGCTTGAGCTGGCATCATACCTTGAATAGCAATTAGTAGCTGTGTGGCCTCTTTTATGACATATTTGACATTCAGGAATCAATGTTGGCTTAAAACCACTATTTCCATTCCAATTCTGCCAATTTGAACCTCTTTTAGAACTACCAGAAAAACCATTGCTGTTTGATCCTCCAGGAAAACCATTGCTGTTTGATCCTCCAGAAAAACCATTGTTGTTTGATCCTCCAGGAAAACCATTGGAATTGCCTGAGAATCTGCCATTATTATTCCCATTGTATCTGGACCTATTGTTAAATCTTCCATTGTTTTCGCCATTATGCTGATATCCTCTATTATTCTGAAAATTCCCATTTCCTTGTTGATGAAAATGAGGTAGAGAAGCCTGAGAAACAATGCCACCAGTGGGTCTATGAGCAGTACTTTGAGAGGAATTAGTAGCTTCAGTGACAAAACCATAGCCACCAGAGAAGTACTGAGAAGCTCCTTGATCTTGTGAGGAATGAGCATTAGAGGATTCTCCTTGACAATACATGGCTAACATAGGAAAATGCAAAGTAGACTGTGAATCTTCAGCTGTTCACTCAGCAGCCAACAATTGTGCTCGAAATTCTTTTAAAGAAATAGGAGTTTCACGAGCCACAATCACAGTACGAATCATATTAAACTCAGCCGGTAAACTCGCAAGAGCAGCAACAATAAGGTCATTCTCAGACACTACTTCACCTGCTGCCATAAGCTGATCTTTAAGAGCCTTAAGCCTCAACATATATTTTTCAACACTATCAGACCCTTTCTTGATAGTCAACAATTCAGTTTTGAGATGATTCACCCTTGCTCTGGAAACAGTAGCATATCTGTCCTGCAAATTCATCCAAGCTTCATGTGCAGTTTTACAACCTACAACATATTCCACAGCCTCATCACCTAATGTAGCAAGAATAAGACTAACAAGAGCTCTGTCTTGTTTAATCCATTCCTTGTATGCTGCTATAATCTCAGTAGTGATACCATTAGCTTCAGTGAACACAAACTTCGGTGGACAAACCGATGTGCCATCAAAGTGATCAAACAAATCATATCCCTCAAGCACCGAGCGAAATTGAAAAGACCACTTGACAAAATTATCATCTTGCAGCCGAATGGTGAACATACCAAGAAGACTTTCCACTTTGAGTGTATTCATATCGAGACTTCAACAAGAACCAAGAAAGAAAACAAACAGAAGCAAATCACAAAGAATCAGCAATTCAGAAAGAATCAAGGCTTCGTGCCCAAACAATCAGCAATTTAGAAAGAATCAAGGCTTCGTGCCCAAACTGTAAGGAGCTTCGTGCTAAAAAACTCATCAAGTAAGCAAACCACAGTAGCTGCGTGTGCAAGCAATCAACAATTCAGAAAGAATCAAGGCTTCGTGCCCAAACAATCAGCAAGTCAGAAAGAATCAAGGCTTCGTGCCCAAACTGTAAGGAGCTTCGTGCTAAAAAACTCATCAAGGAAGCAAACCACAATAGGCTTCGTGCCCTAACATTTATCACATCAACAAATCATAGATCCATAGCTATACCATGAAATTAAACACAAAGTCCAGAAAATATTGACCAGAAACCACCAGAATCAAGCGGATATAACCTGAGTCGGCACCGACGAACCGAAACCAAAACTTCGTCGACAAAATCAGAAACCACCGCCTCGACAAAATCAGAAACCACCGCCTCTCAGATCCGTCGAAAAAAAACAAACTCCAAAGCTTAATGAGCCCGTCAGGATCCTCTTCACAGATTCACCAAACCTAAGCTTTTGATACCATCATAACAATGGCATGTTCAGCCATTGAAACATTCAGAAAAGCTTAAACGCAAGAAAATATGGAAATGGCAGAAGAAAAGAGAGGAAGAGAGAAAGAGAAAGAAATGAAACTTGCAAAAGAAGCTGTTGTATTAACCGAACAAAAACTAAACAATTACATCCTTATCTAGCCTTATATATAGCAGCTGTCCAAACTTAATGACTAAGTAATCTAATATCCTTCATTTAGCTGATGTGTACAAATACATAAGAAAAGACTCAAATACCCCATACATTGTTAATAGGAATGTCGCATTTCCGCGAGAGAACTTCCTTGAATGATCCAACGGTGGATTCGAGGCCAATGTGAACACTGAACTTTGAGCCATTGGAAACAACTCGTGGATTTCGATATTGTAATTTTAGTTCTACTTTGATTTCTCGAGGTCGTTTCAAGACGAAGAAGTTCTAAATGTCGTTCCAATTTTTATTTGAGTGGATATAAGGTCAAATATTTTCTTCTCAATCGTTTATAGATATAAATTATCATCGTCGTTGTATGTGAAAATTGAATCTCGAATTCGATTTACTAAAATCTACACAGGCATCATAGAGGCACCAAGTCCATCTCTTGGTTAGACAGCGCCAACAAAAACCAAATTAATGACCGAGGCAAAATCAACCATCATGACATCTCTCATGGTGATGTTTTGATTTCTTTTTTAACATAAATTGTCATAATACAAATAATTAGATACTTAACAAAAAATTCAATCACTTATATTATGAACTTGTGTACCGATCCGATGTTCGGGCACAACCAAAAAAATTTCTCCTGTGTGTCCTTGTTAATGTGACAAGTAGGCTTGAAGGGAAAAAAGAAAAAAACAAAACAGAGACAAGTAAGCATTTTTATCTATAAAACTCAAAGTGGGACCCGCTCAAAACAACAGAAGAAGATGAGGCCGTGACTACACACGGTCACAACTAGGTGGTCTTATCACTAGGGGTTATAAGAAAAGCCAAAGAAAATTGCACGAAAAAATTGCTGCCGCCGCTGCTGCTGCAACGCACAAAAAAGGTGCCAGAAAGCGCGCCATGATATTCATCTTCCATGGCAATAATATCTCCGCGAGGCTCCAACAAGTTCTTGCTATCTCGCCTCGGAGCCCTAATCACGCAACAGGTCCCTCTCTAACCTTTTACTTTCTTTGAGGCATTTCGTCGAACATTTGGTGACTGGTGTTTCCTCAATGCGCAGAAATTCGTCCACGCATTGTCTGAGGGAGGATTGCAATCTCAGGTTCACCCTAAAATGGTCCCGGACCAAGGTATATGCATTAAAGTCTTTGCATTTGTGTACTTCGAAAGGAAAGGTTGATTTTTGTTATGGCTATTAGCCATTGGCGTTGTGTATAATATGCACTTTTGTTCATTTATGAATTGGGTAGGTTTCATTGATATGTATAAGTGGAAAAAGATCGACGCGAGGGCCCTCGGGATAAAGCCCTCCATGATTTCGCATCCCTCTTGGATTGTGTTGAAACTTCTTCAGGCTGAAGGTAACATCATGTTCCATTTTCGCTCTCATTGTTGATGTACGTATGTTGGTGGTGTTGTGTGTTTGTGTAGAGCAAAGCATTTATATGCCTCACTGAAGTCGAATAACCATCGGAATTATTCAGTTAAAGGGTTTATTTTGACTTGGCTGAATTGGATGGTTTGCTTATCTTTTAATGTATGCAGGGTTTGAGGCCTACTTAGTGGGTGGATGTGTTAGAGACTTAATCCTTAAAAGGATACCTAAAGACTTCGATGTGATCACTACAGCTAATCTTAAAGAGGTTCGTAACGCTTTATTTTAAAGTGTTCTTCTCAACTCCTGTAGATTGTGATACGTTGCTAGGTGGGGAAATTCAGACTCCTTTGGTTGTTTAACCTATTACAGATCAAGAAGAAATTTCATCGTGCAGATGTTGTTGGGCAACGGTTTCCTATATGCAGGGTGCATGTTAAAGGCACAGTCATTGAGGTTGGTTGGTGAACCTTGTAGTTACAGTATCTTCTTGTGTGACTATTTTTATTGTTCGAGATATCATTTTCTTATTCAAATAATATGCAGCTGTGTCAACTTGCCTTTAGTATCCTATCTTGATGTTCCTTTGTTCTTCCTTTGACTCCTGTAACAGGTATCAAGTTTTGAAACAGTGGCAAGAGATGCAGGAAAAAAGAAAGAGAAACAGAAAGATAATTTATCTTTTAGGCCGCCTGGCTGTGATAAGAAAGATTTCATCCGTTGGAAAAACAGCATGCATCGGGACTTCACTATTAACAGGTACCCTTATCTTCCATTTTTCACCATACCATGTGCTATGCTAGCAATATAAATACTCTCTCTATTCATTTGACCTGTGTAATTCAATTTCATTTGACAACACAATTTGTGAAATTGTGCAAGCAGTTTATTCTTTGATCCTTTTACGAATAAGGTCTATGATTATGCCAATGGAATGGCGGACTTAAGGCACTTAAAGGTAACTCCCAATTTCCCTTTGTTTATGGAAATCTTTACCTTCCTATAAAATAGTTTTTTATTTTTTATTTTATTTTTTTTATTTTTTTTACAATATGTCATCTGAAGTTTATTAAGATGAATTATTTTTTGGGTGGCATGGACTTAGCTACGGACACTAGCCCCTGCCAAGTTGTCGTTTGAAGAGGATTGTGGTAGGTGTTCCCATCTTTTATGCAAACTTTTGATACCATTTGGATGCAACAGCTAAGTGAGTGTATCAGATTAACATAACTTGTTAATATTCAAACTCTCTGATACAGCAAGAATCTTGAGGGGCTTAAGAATTGCTGCTCGTCTGAGCTTGTCAATTTCAAAAGAAACTGAGACTGCAATGCATAAGCTTTCTTCATCCATTTTGAGTTTGAGTAAGGTACCTCTGAAACTACTTTATATGCATAAGATTGCATGCTGGCTCGGTTATTTTCCATTTGTCTTTGGGAGGGATAATGTCCGATACCACTTGTTCAAACTGACATTCTTTGTCCATTTAGTTCAGAAAAATGATGGAGATGGACTATATGCTTTCTTATGGAGCTGCTGAGGCGTCACTATGTTTGCTGTGGAGATTTGATCTGATCAGAATTCTGTTTCCCTTTCATGTACGTGCTCGTTTCATATTATAAAATAATCCTTTATCGTAATGAAACATATATTACAAATAATTTTTTCATTACAAATGAATCCATAGTCATTAGGTGTATATCTGACACAAACTGGTATTGTAGGCAGCATACTTTGACCAACAGAGTGAAAACTTGAAAGGCGCTAAGAGTTCCTCGATGTTGATGGTAAGTAAAACACTACAAAAAGTTTCTTCAATTTTAATATTTAACCAAAAGAGATTTCTTAAATCCATAATACTGGAGAGATTGTGCAAGAAAAAAAAAAGGATTTATAAAAAGCAATGATTTGAAAACTACAGAAGGATCTTTTTGCATCCCAAATCAAGTGTGGTTTGATTCAGTAACTTTGCAAGAGCTCGAAGAGGAATCATTTACAGAGATACTTCTAAGTTGGATCCTTCAATATTATGATCTAGAAGGGTCTCAGTTTTCTTTTGTCAAATCAAAAATCAAATAATTATTTTTTATTATGTTAAACTGTTAATAATGTTAGAACTTTTATCACGTCTCCCAGTTAGAATTTATGGAACAAGAGCTATTGAGAGTTTTCTAATTTTTCTTCCACGATAGTTTTGTGTGTGCTTGTGGTATTTGTTTTTGTATTACTCAAATGTAGGGATCTAGTCTTCGACTCTTTTTCATTTGATGTGGAGCCAAGTTAATTTATGCCCAACCCAGCAATTTAGTTAGATTTTGATTTTTCTTTCTTTTTGAACAGAAATTATTCTCGAATATGGATAAAGTGGTTAGCTGTGATCGGCCTGGTCACTGCTCTTTATGGTGAGATAAACGTTTATTGTTTCTGGTAGATTATAATATCCAACACATCGTGGCATTTCATTTTATTTATTTTTATAAACTTGGTTCTGAGCACTAGTTTAAATTTTTTTAACCAGTTTATATGACAATGAGCGTATGCTAGCTGTGCCCTGTGCCTTGCACCTAGTCACATTGGGAATTCAGTCTTTTATAAATAGTTGGGTTTCAGGTTTCTATATGTAATGCAGATGCCACTGCTGATTAATTGTCTTTATTACAGGGTCGGACTGTTGGCATTTCACCTGGCGCTAGTCAATAATCCACAAGATGCTCTTGTAGTGTTGACTTTTGCTTCCGTTCTGTATCATGAAGAATGGGAAGAAGGTGTTAAATTTTCCAGAGACAATGCTGCGTCGATAGTTAAATATGTACCTGAGATCTCAGGCTCATGTGGATTTAAATCAGAGGAAGAACTTGCAAAACAAGTTTCCAAGTTAGCTTCTTTTATGCTAGATTATATTGCCGCTTTAGCTGCAACAAAAGATCCTGATGAATCAATGTCGAGATATCCTGTTTTGCCATTCTCTGAGTTGGTAAGTACGTCTAATTGATATTCAATTCCTGAGCTGGAATTTGATGCGTCTCTCATGTCACTTATCTGCATTTTTCTCATCCCATCATGAAACGCTGTTGTTATGGAATTTGGTATTAATATTCAACCGCATTGCACGATTTTTATATGAATTTTTGTTCCCTTTTACTGTTTTACCATATCATGCCTTGATTTTGTATCACAGGAGTATGTCACAAATCCTTGGACTATAGACTAAGTGTTACCCTTTACAGTTTTACCATATCACGCCTACTATGTGCTGTTACTGTCAAATCCCATTTAGCAGTTAATTTTAAAATATTTGTTTTTGTGCTTGTATAAAGTTTTTCTTTGGTTGGAGTACTTATATATTGTTTCATATGTGCCTAATTCGATTAAAACAAATGTGATTCGTTCTCAGGCCTTTTTACCTAAGAATATGGCTAAACATGTTGCTGCAATTGTTGAAGTCCTGACCAACGACATCGAATATTACAATCAAGGAAGAAAGAATTTTGAGATTGATTACTACTCACTTGGGAAAGGTCATATGCGCGAGATTAGGTTTATTTTAGGAAAAGTTATTCTAGAAACCATGGACAGTGGGATTTTGAGAGCAAAGGAAGTCGTTAAGGGGAAGGAGGACAACTACCACCTGCAGCAGGATATCATTGACAAAAATTTCACTAAGGGTAGAAAACGTGCAACTGATGCCCCCGAAATAAAACAAGAGTTGTCCAAGAAACATAGGGTGAAAGTAGTTTTTGATCCAGATATGGCTACCGATAATCAAGAGGTTGTCGAAACAACTCAATCACCACAGAAGGAGTTGATTTCAGTTCTGGGAAATATGTTAGAGAAGAAAAAACGTCAGTTACCAGAAGAGGTGATTGAGAAAAAGCAAGAGCTTTCTGAGAATGATAAGTTCCAGATGAAGGAGAAGAAGAATACTAAGAAGTGTAATTCAAGTCAGGAGGAGACTATTAAGCTGGAAACTATGTTAGAGCAGAGAGGGTATCCTGTAACACGGAAAGTAATCCATGAGAAGGTTACAGAACTCAGACAAGAAACAGATGAGGAGAGAGGCAGTCCACCTCCCCTATCTTGTATTTTCAGCAGGGGTGTTGAGGAGATTCAGAAACGCAAACAAGTAGCAGAAAAGCCAATATCCAGTCTCCGTCGACTATCTAGTCTCTTCAAGTGAAACTATTGTCGTAAACTAACAAAAATGACATGTATGTTTATTGTGCCTTCCCCTCTCTCCCTCCCTCTCTCTCACCCACAGTTTTAATGAATAATTCTTCCTTTTCTTTCTGCATTGCAGGTGTATCCATAAAAAGTCCAAGGAGCTGGAGGAAAAGTCCTCAGACATACCCTCAGGTTTTGCACATTGTAACATTTTGCTTCCCCGTCCTCATTTCCCTTTCATTTATCGGTTTTAACAATTTTGGCCTTAGGCATTACGAAATCATGTTGGTTAAGGACCAGTGTGAAATAGTTTGTGCTACAAAATTTGTATTTATTTAATGATTCTTTCGAGGTTCAAGGATCGTCTTTTGGATGCGTATGGGTGACCCTTAACAATGTTGGAAAGCTTTAGGTATCGCCAATATTTTTTCTACTCTGCACAGCCCTGTTTAATTTCGGTTCGATTGCATGAATCAAAGGAGGATCAATCGACAAAAAAGAATGTGTTTGCAGGAGAGAAGGCTGGTGTGTAAAACTCATTTTGCTTTTGAAATTTAACTTCAAATGGCTGGATCTCATGTTTGCAAATTGAGTAACATTTGAGGTATCGAAATAAATGTTCCAACTTTGGATTCTGACTTGTGTAGTTATTTTGTAATAGACCTGGCAATTTTATGCACAACACATTAACTCAAAATGAAACAACATAGAAAAAATAAGTTTTGGATCGGGATTAAAAGGTCAGGTGTTTTATCGGGTCAACCCATTAAGCACTCGTTAAATCACAAGTTGATTCAAGTCTACTTGTTGTTAATGTTTAATAATTTAGTATGAAGTTTTATTTATTTGATTATATATTGAAGTAATATATTGTCCTTAACGGGTATAATGGGTTGGATTAATTTTAACGGTTCGGCTTAGGGTTTGAAGTTTAAAACATGTCACTATAACATATTTGACATAACCCGATCCATTACGATAACAAGTTTGACACAAAAACTACATGAACACAACAAACATGACCTGTTTGTTACGTCTATTCATAGTGATTGAACTATTTCACGTTGTGCCCCTCAAATTATTTCTTTTTTCTTTTTTATTTACAAAATCTATACTAAACTAATCTAAATTATATGGATTTTTTTTATACGACAACATATTTACATTAAGGTTTAATAGAATAAATTGGAATCTAGTTCTTCATTTACCAAATTCAAACTAAAATCTATCACTTATAAATGAAGAAAAATTTGAACTTAATTGCACAAATTAAAAAGACAATATTCCATTTCAACGGTTCCAATTTGCCAAAATTTATGTTACTTCGCATGTAGGCCCACCGGTACAGTAATGCGGGGCCACATGGAATAATAAAAAAAATCAGTACGCTCTCAATCTCTTATTTCGCTATTAATTGTTTGGTTAATATTTGTTTTAACGCTTTCACTATTATGTTATCTTGTTACCTATTTCCCCTATTTTGTCTTGGATTTCATATTAATGGAAAGTATTTAATGTGCCACCAAAATGTTCACATCATAATTTCTTATAGCTCATTCATTAATCTGAGCAAGATACGAAAAACTAACGTCATTGCTGACACACTCTTTAATACAGTTGGGTTTCATCTCAGCTACAATAGTAGAGCCCTTTTGCAATGATCTCGTGTGTCAGCAATTATGGCAGTTGTTCAAACTTCATTAAATGTAATTTTGTCTACCAAATCGTTATAATGTTAATTGTCCAAATTAATCTAGCAAAAATTACCGTTAACGCTTTTACAAGCATTTCTCGCGGTCTCTTAAGTTATTCATGCTCCTACAAACCTTCCCGCGATTCTTCTCACTCTCCCCCGTTTTGTCGCGAGAGTACATTGAGAACGTAAATAACGTTCTAATAAAAGAAACACTCGCATTAGCTGTTTAGGATCGTAAATTTCATAATCAAATCACATAAAACAATCACGCTACCTTTGCAATTAGAAACTTTTGCCCAGTAGACATTTAAGCAATGTTAAATATTGTAATTTGGGAATAAATACAAATTTATATTTAAACAAGAAAATATTCTGTCCACTCAGCAAATAAGAAGTCACACATAAATTTGGTTAGATGCTAAAATATCCAAAATTTATTAATCTTCTAAATATAACCAATCTAATTAGGTAACCATTATCCTAATTTGATTTAATATTACCCAAAAAAAAAATCGAAGGATCCGGTGGGCAGGAGCGCATAGGATTTTTGAGTCCAACCCCCAATCATTGGATAATTGATTAAAAAAAAAAAAAAAAAAAAAAAAAAAAAAGCGAAAAGAATTTGATTAATTTGAATCCCACAGGCCAACACCACACGCGAAGGTGACCGTTGTTAGGACATAGGGGTATTACATAGAAAGTCATCTCAATCCGCATGATCCAACGGTCACTTTTCACTAGCCGTTGTATTTGAAAAAAGCAGAAGGGTATTTTTTGGGGTCCTCTCTCTCTCTCTCTCTCTCTCTCTCTGGAGACAAATACCCACTGATTTGCCACTTTATTATGTAGCTCAGCTCTGTCTTTATTTCTACTACTACTCACTGTATTTTGCAGAGATTTCAGTCCCTCTCTCTCTCTCTTTCTCTCTCTTTCTCTCTCTCTCTAGATGCTCTCTTGGGGAGAAGAAATTTAGGGTGACTCAGAATTCTTAGCCTCTTTGCTCACTTGGGTTTGATTTGGATTGATTGATTTTGATTGTTCCTTCAGGAAATCATAAGCTTAAAATGGTTATTTCTGATGAGAACCGTTCTAATCTGATCAGACCCACAAATATGCAAGGTGAATGAAGTCACTGAAATGGGGTTGATTTTTTAAATTCTGGGCATCTGGATTTTGAGATTTTGATGATGAAAATTTCAAAAGATTCTGACTTTTTTTCGCTTTTCGAACGAAATGTAGGACTAGAGGTGGGTACCGGCAAGCTTGGACAGCAACAGATTAGGCAGACCAGGAGGGCTTTAGGAGTCATTAATCAGAGCTTGTTAGGAGCTCCAGCATACCCTTGTGTTGTTAACAAGAGACCCTTTACACAGTAATTTTCAAACACTTTTTCGCCTTTCGAATTTTTCATCTTTCACGGGCATGGTTTCTTGAATTTTATTTATTTATTTAGTTTTTTGTTTTTTGTTAATCTCAGAAAACATGAAGTTTATGAGAAGAAGCAGGCAGATCCAGCGCACAGACCAATCACCAGGTTTGAATTTTACCCTTCTATTGTTTTTTCATTTTTTATTTCAATTGTTGGGTTATGAAATTCAAAATTTTGATCTTTAGATCTTAAACCAACATGAAACTCAAATTTTTAAGACGTATTTAACCAAAATTTGATGTTGATTTGCGCTTTTTACAGGAAGTTTGCTGCACAAATTAGCAATCAGCCATCTTGTTTCGAGGTACCGCTATCCGCATCCAGATTGATTTTTAACTTTTCTTATCTGTTTTACCTTATTTGATTGATGGGGTTGGAGCGATGTATATCATCAGGAAGTCAAGATCCCCAAGGTGCCAAACAAAGCAGATGAAACCACCAACTCAGCTGGTTTTGGAGATTGCATTAGTATATTCGTAGACGAAGAATTCAAGTCCCCTGAAGGCCAAGCAGAAGCAATGACGGAGGACGCGGAGCCCATGTTCTTAGAGCAAGAAGAATCAACGCTGGAAGAAGCAAATGATACGGTATATCTCTTTGTAAAACATGTCAAGTTTTTGGATTGTGTTTTGTTGGAAAACCCCAATTTTCTGATTTCACATAAAAATTTGATCTTTTAGAAAGAGGTTGAAATGGAGGACATTGTGGAAGAGCCTCTTGTGGATATTGACGGTGGCGATTTGAAGAATCCGCTTGCAGTTGTAGACTATGTTGAGGATCTCTATGCTTACTATAGGAGAATGGAGGTGAAAATTGCTCACTGTTTTGTTACTGAACAATTAGATATAGCAAATTCATTGTCAAATGATCATAGATATGAAATTATTCAAATGTCACGAGATATATGACCTGATTGATTCGCGCGAAAGCGCGCTGAAGAAGTTCTTTGCGCGCCGCGAAGAACTTGCTACGTGCCTGTACTGATTTAGTAAATTACCTGTCACATTTAGAGTCGCATATCTCGATTCTCGAATGACAAGTAAATCTGTTGTGGATCTCTTTCCATGGCCATTACAGAATACCAATATCTGCAAATGGAAAGCATTTATGTCAGGTCTTAAATTTTCGTCTAACAAATTGTTTGGCATTTGCATTTTAATCGACATCAGAACATTTTCTGTAAAATGTTTGTACATTTTTGTCACAGAGAATTTGATTTGCTTCCTATTTAGCAAAAACCTGAAGTTTTCCTTTTTCGACGAAAAACAAAAGTGGGAAAACATCCATTTCAACCGAAGTGTGACTAACTTAACCAACATTCATATTTGCAGGGTTTTAGCTGTGCCCCACCTAACTATTTGGAGCAACAATGTGACATCAATGAGAAGATGAGGGCTATACTAATTGACTGGCTTATTGAGGTATACTTTTCTTTCCTAAATCGATCAATTTTCCGAAAATGGCAAATGCTTTCTCTTGATTAATCATCAATGCAGTTCGTTTCAATCAACCTCTTTTACAATTACAAATGACTGATCTGTTTATTCGAATCAACAGGTGCACGACAAGTTTGAGCTACTGAAGGAGACATTGTTTCTTACTGTGAACCTTATAGACAGATTTTTATCCCAGCATACGGTTGTAAGAAAGAAACTTCAGTTGGTTGGTCTGGTTGCCATGCTTTTAGCATGCAAATATGAGGAGGTTTCTGTTCCCATCGTCGGGGATTTGATTCTTATATCGGATAAAGCTTACACAAGGAATGATGTCCTGGAAATGGTAATTCATTGTTCTTTCTTGGGCGAGGGCGATTATGCTTAACTTGTTGAAGTTGTAGTAGTTCTAATTGTCCTTCCCCTTCTGCTGCAGGAGAACCTGATGCTCAACACATTGCAGTTTAACATGTCAGTTCCAACGCCGTATGTTTTCATGAATAGATTCCTCAAGGCTGCTCAATGCGACAAGAAGGTCAGTAGTGATTCATCGAAGATCAAAACATTTTTCTCACGCCAGCGAGATTCTGATTCCTTTTTCTTTAATGTCATCAAAACAGATTGAACTCCTATCGTTCTTCTTAATCGAGCTCTCTCTCGTGGAGTACCAAATGCTTAAGTTTCCACCATCCCTGTTAGCTGCTGCTGCAGTCTACGCTGCTCAATGCACTCTTCACGGGTTCAAGCAATGGAGCAGCACCTGCGAGTGGCACACAAACTACTCAGAAGAACAGCTCTTGTGAGTACTTTCACTTATTAGTTTCTCCCATCTATAAAACAATAACTAAATCTTAATCAGTCGAAGAGTTTACTAATAACTCAGTAATTTGATGGTAACAGAGAATGCTCAAGTTTGATGGTGGGATTCCACCAGAAGGCGTCAACGGGAAGGCTGACAGGGGTGCACAGGAAGTACAGTACATCCAAGTTTAGCTACATTGCAAATTCAGAACCAGCGAAGTGTCTGGTGCAGAATCAACAACTATAGCAGGCCATACTCTCACTAACAAACATTAC